TAAGAAAACTAACATACTGGAAAAAATACTGACAAATCATAAGAAAACTAACATACTGGAAAGTATGCTGACAAATCATAAGAAAACTATCATATTGGAACGTATACTGACAAACCATAAGAAAACTAATATATTGGAAAGTATACTGACAAACCATAAGAAAACTAACATATTGGAAAGTATACTGACAAACCATAAGAAAACTAACATATTGGAAAGTATACTGACAAAGCATAAGAAAACTAACACACTGGGAAATACACTGACAAAGCATAAAAAAACTAACACACTGGAAAATATACTGACAAAGCATAAGAAACTAACGCATTGGAAAATATACTGAAAAAGCGTAGTAAAACCAACACTCTAGAAAGTATAGTGACAAATCATAAGAAAACTAATATCCAATAAAATTATGCTGACAAATCATAAGAAAACTAGCATATTGGATCGTACACTGACAAACCATAAGAAACTAGCATATTGGAAAATATACTGAAAAAGTATAAGAACTAATGACCGGAGATTAATGACAAAGCAGAAAAATGTTAATAAAGAATTTTTTGTGAGAATAGATTGAGGAAAACTTTGCGAAAATTATTAATCATTCGTTCTTTTGTGTTTTTGTGTGTATTTAAATAAAATATCAGAGAAGAATTGGCACTTTTCTGTATGACTGAAGTTGGGTGCTATTGAATAGAAGCAACAGTCTGGTTTTTAAGATATTTTATTTTATATTCCAGTTCCTTTCCAAAAATCTATCTACTTACCCATGTATGGGTAATAGAAGATTGGTTGCCAAGTTTAGGCTTAACAATGTACAGTGAGAACTTTGCCAAACAGCTGGTGGATGGGCGAATTTTGAACACTCTGAGTAAAAAGGACCTCGAGAAATATCTCGGAATTAGTCGGAAGTTTCATCAAGTTAGCATCATGCACGCTATTCACCTACTTCGGATGTTCAGGTTTGATCTACAGGTTTGTTGGGGAAACTTCTAGCATTTTCTATTTCGTAAAAGTCGGTATTTACACTATAAAACAGAAAACTTGCGGAAGACTGTACTATAAAGAATGTTTTTTATTTAACTTATTGATGTTTAGTGTGTTTTTTACAGGATGTAAAATTAAGTTTGTATCACTAGTAAGGGTGATGTTTTTGGTGATACCCATGTCAATTTCTGCAAATCTAAGAAGTTTCACTTTGGCGTACGTATTTACTCAGCTGGAAGAACAATACAAACAGCCTTTGTAAATTTTATCTCCAAAGGAATTTTAATCTTAAAGTATCACTTAAAATTATCACAAAGTCATGACACACTTGCATAAATTGAGAGTGACTTTAATTACTTTACCTGCATCATTTCCAGTTATTAATACAGCGGAGATCACAGTGTGAACAAATGGATGTGGACCCAGTGGTGTGGACCAATCAAAGATTTATCAAATGGATGAAAAGTATCGATTTAGCGGTGAGACAAGATGTTATTAGTTCATTCTAATAGCTCAATCTATTAGTATGTGTCTCTTATAACTGGTTTATTGCTAATAAAGCTAGCTGTTGGTATAATGCTATAGAACACAAAGCATAACATAATTTGTTGATGTGATGATCCTCGGTCGAACTGAATGTTTCCTCTGTTACTTAAGCCAGACTCCATAGATTCTCAGATGAGATGTTATATAGAAAATGGGTAATAGAGAAGTAGGTATTAAGGGTGGGAGGGAAAGAAACACTGATTCTAGGGAGAAACTTGGTAAGAACAGCCTTAATTTCATTTATGTAGACCAATTAAAACCTTTTAATCTGTCTTAGGCTAATTACTAAAACTTAAATAGCAATAGCTATAGTCATTCGTTTCAAATCCATTAGGAAAATGTATTAGAAGCTTCCGTAATCAAATGCGTTTTGCCACTAAAATGTAGTACTTAATGTAAAGCTCTTTAATGATGCCCTAGTTGCTTCCTTAACGTAGGAAACGAAATACTGTCATGCGACTAAAATTTTACCATTTCACTCCATTTAAAGTGTTCTCGTCTAACTTTAGTTTAAATGTTGATGTTAAATTTTAGTTTCCGATATCGCCTGCGTTTCTAAGAAAATCAACAATAATTAGCTTAAAATCGTACTGCCAAATTCCTCAGAAAAGACAAAATATAAAGGAATGAGAAGATCAGGAAATACGAAGAATCCGAAATTTAGAACTTACATTAGACAAAATTGGAGTCTTCAAGGAGTTAAAAAAAAGAAAGGGGAAACGATTGATGAGAGCATCCAAATTCAGGACATATTACGATCAAACTCACCCAACAACTGGCAATCGTCATGTGATTTTTATATTTATTGTTGGGAGTACTTTTGCATTTGTCGACACGCGAACTGAGCGTTTCAATAAAACAATCCGGTCTCGGTTGTGAGCAGTCAAAAAGAAAACAAAACGTCAAGCTGCTTGCCAGGAAACCTTTAAAACGAAGTATCGTGACAAATCTGTTTGTTCATGTCTGGATTATTTTTTGCTCTATTTTAGTAACATACTTATATATATATTCCTGCAGTATTTTTATTTAACAAATCCAAAGTATGCTATTTTTTCTTCTTTTTTTTGGGGGGGTGGGAGATAAACTACCAAGTTATTTATTGTTTATTATATATTATATAATCTAAAAATATTAAACTATTGAGTACTTCGTTTCGCTTAAGTATAACACAGTTTTTAATGAAAAAGGTGTCGATGGTGTTTAAGTACGAGTACATTTTCTCACAACTCAAATGTCTCTTGGTAAACAGCTTATGAAATATTGGTATGATATGATTTCCGTTAACATCAAGTGATTTAGGCTTAATCTCATTTTAAAACATTTGGAATATTTTTGTAATATAATTCATTTTCCCAATATTTATGACTTTGAACATTTTATTTTCTTTCTCAAATCAGTCAGTTTTATTGTTGATTTGTTTGTTTGTTTTAATTTCGCGCAAATTGTAAAATGTTTTGATGTGGATGTGGTATTTGTTGTTAATTTAAAATTACTTAAATTTTGTTGGATAGGTAAATGAACACAAAAAGTTACATTTAGAACACTAAAAAGCAAGATGGCAGAATAAAACAACCAACCAAAGTAATCAGTGTAATCTAATTCATTACGTTGCAAAAGAAAATTCAGGATAGTGATATGTCATTTGGTCTAGGCATGGAATAGTTGTTAGCGTGCTTAGACTGTGACTCCTAGGGTTCGTGGTTCGTGTCCCTTTGTGGCAAAAACTCCTTCCACACTTTGGAATCGTGGGTGCGCTATAAGGTAAGACTGACGGTCCAATCCCACTATTTGGTCAGGCAAGAGTTGTCTAAAAGTGGGTGTTGTTGGTTAGCGCTATCTTCTCTCTAGTCTGTAAGTTCAAACATAGGAACAGCTTTGCTCCTATAACCCTTGCGAAGCTTTGAGCAAAAATTCTAAGTAGGGAAACAAACATACAAATGTTAAAGTTATGATTCTACAATTGCAACTTCCTTATACTTGTTAATCAAACAGACTTGTTACTCTTTAATTCATAGAATCACATTTATAAATTGTTTCACGTTACTTTGGTCTAGTTACTCTATTTACATGTTTCTGATCTAAGTGCCTTTATGTAATACACACAGTTACAGTTACACATGATTTGGCCATCTAACCAATGACTGAATTAATGCGACGAAAGAACAAGCCAGACATCCTAGAGTAGAGGTCAGGATCGAGTTCGTACACGATTAAATTTAATGGGACAGAACGAAATATAAGTTCATATAGAAATCAGACCACTCAGTAGAACTGCTAAACTAAACATAACCCAGGAAGCCCAAAACTCAGGTTCTGAAGCTGCTGATCAGATACGTGAAATGTATTTATATATAAGAGCAGATCTAGAGTGTGAACTTTGAGCTAAGGCTCCTGGGACTCGAAGCATTGTCCGAAAGTAAATGTAATTAATGAGGTATAATACAATGCTAAGTCTTACAACTACAACCCCACGAATCTAATATAAGCTGCATGTTTGTTACTATAATCATAGTGTGATATTTGCGGCTCAGAATAATATCCATGCCCAGTGTCTTTTTTACATTTACACCGAAACACTGAACATAAAGAATACTGCACGAAAACTTTGAAAGTGCAGGTGGCTGATCGTGTGATCTGGCATATACATTTCAGTGGTATGTGATAGTTAATGAACACGTTGTGTTTTTAGTAAGTACTTTTATTAACAACAGTGTGTGTGTCTGTAAAGAGATCCAGATTGTAAGAAAAATATGCCAGGACCCTAATGAAAATATTTGGGCATTTCCATAATGTGGAGAGAAATTGGATGGCCAGAAGCTGGTCAAACACACGTCATCGAGAGTGGATACAAGTCTCATAAAATGTGAGTGGCCGAATGCGGACTAACGTTCAGACCGGAAACATGGACAGGGTAAACAATTATCAACAACCTCGCAAGATGGCTGCTATTTGACAATAGAAACTAAGATAACTGCTATTTGATAATAGAAACTAAGATGACTGCTATTTGACAATAGAAACTAAGATGACTGCTATTTGATAATAGAAACTAAGATGACTGCTATTTGATAATAGAAACTAAGATAACTGCTATTTGACAATAGAAACTAAGATGACTGCTATTTGATAATAGAAACTAAGATAACTGCTATTTGACAATAGAAACTAAAGCGATTGCTATTTGATAATAGAAACTAAGATGACTGCTGTTTGATAATAGAAACTAAGATGACTACTATTTGACAATAGAAACTAAGATGACTACTGTTTGACAATAGAAACTAAGATGACTGATATTTGATAATAGAAACTAAGATGATTGCTATTTGACAATAGTCCCCCAGTGGCACAGCGATATGTCTGCGGACTTACAACGCTAGAAACCGGGTTTCGATACCCGTGGTGGGCAGAGCACAGATAGCCCATTGTGTAGCTTTGTTCTTAACTTCAAACAAACAAACAATTTGACAATAGAAACTAAAACGATTGCTATTTAATAATATAAACTCGATGCAGCCGTCGGACAACATCTTTCCAACTGAATCAACAGTACAGAGCAGAAAATGGTTTGTTTTGTTTGTTTTTGAATTTCGCTCAAAGCTACACGAGGGCTATCTGCGCTAGCCGTCCCTCATTTAGCGGTGTAAGACTAGAGGGAAGGCAGCTAGTCATCACTACTCACCACCAACTCTTGGGATAATGTTTTACCAACGAATAATGGGATTGACCGTCACATTATAACGCCCCCACGGCTGAAAGAGCAAGCATGTTTGGTGGGACGGGGATTCGAACCCACGACCCGCAGATTGCTATTTAGGGACACAAATTACCAGAACGTTCTTTTAATAGACGATAAATGCGCCCCTACCGTGATAAGCTGCTAATCAACTTCCTGGAAGAAGAGGCTATTAAACATATGGACTGAACTATATCCTCATGAACTTTGATTCCGATTGAACATGTACAGGATACAGAAAATCCCGACTCGACTGGGATTTTAACACAACACTTTCACATGATGGTCGACCACTGTAACCACAGTGACACCAAGTCTTTGTAATTGGAAGTTAACAATTAATTCAAATCCCTAATTTAAACTATCGTGTTAATCTGTTTTTCATATTTTCGTAATATTGCATGATCTTTCTTTAGAAATGGTGATTTAATCATTCAAAAAAGGTATACAAAAATCCCGAGTCGACTGGGATTTAAATGCGATTAACCGAAAGCAGCTCTAATATAGGGTTAGGCCATATAACCTAGGGCCTAGTGGTTCAGTGATTCACTCATTGTAAGAAGGCTACATCGACGTACGATTTGCATTAGTGCCTAAGGTAATTATACGCCTTATTAGTAAATGTGTTCTGATCATTTATTGGGCTGTTGTTTAAAGTATCAAATAAGCGCTTGTAGGCATGGACTGTAATAGTAGATATTTCATATTACTTGTAGGCATGGACTCTAATAGTAGATATTTCCATATTACTTGTTGGCATGTACTATAATAGTAGATATTTCATATTACTTGTAGGCATGGACTGTAATAGTAGATATTTCATATTACTTGTAGGCATGGACTGTAATAGTATATATTTCATATTACTTGTAGGCATGGACTGTCATACCAACAAGTAATATGGAATATCTACTATTACAGTCCATGCCTACAAGTAATATGAAATATCTACTATTATAGTACATGCCTACTAGTAATATGAAATATCTACTATTAGAGGCTATGCTAACAAGTAATATGGAATATCTACTATTACACTTTATACCAACAAGTAATATGAAATATCTACTATTAGCTCTAAAAGTAGATATTTCAAATTACTTGTAGGCATGGAGTCTAATAGTATATATTTCTTGTTATTTGTAGGCATGGACTATAATAGTAGAATTTCATGATACTTGTAAGCATGGGCTCTAA